TACAGAAAAAAAATAACACCAGATATTTTAAATTGAGATTGTCATGCAGCATTATCACAGTCCTGTGAGGTGCTGAGCAGATGTTGCACTTGTTTGGTTTCTGGCAGGATCAAATGATGTGCTGGGAACTACTCCAGTATCCCACAGGAGCTCCTCTGCCCCAGCTTCTCCAGGAGGGGAAAATCCAATCATTGATCCAAAGCGTGGGAGTCAGTAGTAGAGGGGAAGTGATTCTGAGATAAATTAAAGTGTTACTAGCTGGTTAAAAAGCCCCAAAGATAGATTGCTACTTGTTTGCCGTGAGGGTTTTCTTTCACTTTCCTTCCTAAAGCAGCTGGAGCCAGTTGGGCAGTGTTGGGTTGCCCAGAACTCCCTGACATTATTCTCTCATCATTATTTGCAGAGCTTAAGCAAGATTAAAAATGCTTATTCAACATGCAGTCCCTGTGCCAGCATCCCTCCCTCTGTAAGTGTGTCCTTCAGAGAGGCACGTGCTGTGGGATGCATCTGTCCTTTCCAAAGGGGATATTTTGAGACCTCAGGCTCAATAAATTATTTTCTTGAAGCTGATTTGATGAGCTGAATTGAAGGAAGGATGTGAGTTTGAGTTTTTGGTTAGGAGAAACCTGATGCCAGGACGCTGGGAATGGTGGAGCTGGTTTTATGTTTGAAGTAAACTGAGCTGCTTCAAGGTACTCAAATTTAATGGAATCACAGAATCCCGGGATGGTTTGGGAGGAAGGGACCTCAAAGCTCATCCAGTCCCACCCCTGCCATGGCCAGGGACATCTCCCAGGGTGCTCCAACCCCTGTCCAGCCTGGCCTTGGACACTTCCAGGGATCCAGGGGCAGCCACAGCTTCTCTGGGCAACCTGAGGTTATCAAACCAATTTCTTTGTTCTGTGTCTGGATGACTATTAGTGAGGCTGAAGACTTTGGATGACTCCAGCCTTCTCATCACAGACCTTAAGCAGTATCAGCCTCACCATCACCCTCGTGTCCTAGCTTTGGAAGGAACTTGAGGCAAGCAGAACAATCTATAAATATTAAATTCTTTCTTCTTAAAGGTATATTCTTGATTACTTCATGATTCAAACATTGCACATCAATATGCCAGCTGCCTTGCCCTTTCCTTAGATGCTCTTTTTTGGGTCTTCTGTCCACAGGAGCTATTTGGAAGGCAGTCTTCTGGCAAGTGGTGCCTTAATGGGAGCAGAAGAACTCAGCAGATATTTTCCTGATCGGAATATGGGAATCTTTGTGGCCACCTGGAACATGCAGGGACAGAAGGTAGGTGCACAGAGGTCTTCACAGGTCCTTTGGCAGCAGTAAAGTTACCCCAGCTCTGCTGGGAGGACTGGGGTGATGTTTTTCTGTTCATGACTCTGTTTCTTGTCAACCTGAGTCATCATCTTTGCCAGATTATAAGGTATTTTTCTAGTAAAACTTTGCATAACTAATACTGCTTTTCTTTCTTTTTGTTTTAAATTTCTTGTGTAATAGGAACTTCCAGTGAATCTGGATGACTTCTTATTGCCAACAGATCCAGACTTTGCCCAGGACATGTATGTCATTGGGGTTCAAGAAGGCTGTCCAGACAGGTAGCAAAAACAATGTAATGAATCATCTTCTTTTATTGTTAACTAATCATTTTGATTTGAATTAGATTAGACATAGTCTCCATTATATTCCTAATATTTTCAATAATCCACCCATTTAACAAGACTGAATTCTATTGCATTAGCACCAGAAGAAATGGGATTTAGAGGAAAAGGTCACAGAGATCTATAAATCATAAAATCCCAGAATGGTTTGGGTTGGAAGGGACATTAAAGTCCATCCAGTGCCACCCCCTGCCATGGGCAGGGACACCTCCCACTAGACCAGGGTGCTCCAAGACCTGTTCAGCCTGGCCTTGGAAACTTCCAGGGATGGAACAGCTTCTCTAGGCATACAGAATTTCATCCTGATGGCAAAGCCCTGCTGATTTCTGTGGCAAAGCCCTGCTGATTTCTGTGGAAGTTCTGTGTGAACTACCCCTTAGTTCAATGCAGGGAGGTTTTGCTTATGACTTGATGTTCTGTGTGAGAGGGGTTGCTGTGTGTGCACAAGGCTGATGTGCTCTCCTGGTTGTTGTCTCCTGTACTGTCTGTGTGATCCAGCTGTTGTTCTTTCCTGCAGAAGAGAGTGGGAGATCCGCCTGCAGGAGACGCTGGGCCCCCACTACGTCCTGCTGCACTCGGCTGCTCACGGAGTGCTCTACATGTCCGTGTTCATCCGCAGGGACCTCATCTGGTTCTGCTCGGGTGTGTGGGGAGCTGAAGGCACTGCTGCCAGCCTGTGCCCTGCCCTTTTCTCTAAATCCCATTTCTTCTGGTGCTAATGCAATAGAATTCAGTCTTGTTAAATGGGTGGATTATTGAAAATATTAGGAATATAAT